AATATCAGCTATAAGAGCTCGAGTTTTGCCACACGTTCAAGCGATTACAACTGTGTTGACTCATGGGCAACAGTGAGACCCCACGCGGGACTCAAACCTGCATCTTCCGCTGACCGGATGAGTGCGCTATCCATTACACCACCGGAACCGCTCTTTTGCTTTCAGCTCAATGACAGCCGCTCTTTGCCTCTCACTAGAGAAGGTCACCAGGTCGAAGTGGCCATTTGTAATGAGATGTAGCTCACAGGACGTGGTTTTGGACGCTGATCTCAAATCTGCCTTCGAAATTTGCAGAACGATTCTCTGAACGGAGTTATGGAGCTTTTTCCTCCGCGTCTATCACGCAACAGGTCATGAGATCGGATCCCTGCTAAGCTTAACTTTTTTGCTCTTGCACGAATGTGGCAAAAAGTGGTTTTGCCGTCACTACTACTTCAGCGCTCACCTAAACTTGCCTGAAAAAAGTTTGCGTCCGTTTATTACTGCGCTTGGGCTCCTTGTAGAAGCCTTGTAGTGCAGGAAAAGATTGGGCGTACAGGTGCCGTCGTGCGCGATACAGGCGTTTTCGCTCATACAGCGCTCAGCGAGTGTTATATTCGTGTTCATCGGGTCGAAACACCTTTATACACAAGTTTCTAGCAAAATCTGGTTCTTGCCGAATGCGAAAAAAGAAGCATCCATAGGGTGCAAATAAATTCATGTCCACACCTATTCAGCTACAAATACTCTGCTGTGCAAAGTGTCATCTTGCCATTTCACGCTTTCATTTTGTTACTGCTCCAGTTTTCCTGATATCTAAAAGCAAGTTCCGTCCGAAGACAAGCAATCGATAAGAAACTGGCCCTAGAACTACTGGTGACCATCATTCGATCAACTGCTACCGCACTTTTTCAAAGTTAGGTCAAAACCTTACATTTGGCTAGAAACCTGTCCCAGGGGTAGTTTTGCTCCCTGAACACGAATATGACACCCATTTGGCGTTTGAATGTTTTCTAGACTCAAAAGAGACATTCCTCACAAAATGCAAAAAATGGTCCTCAAAAAGAACCCGAACCTCCGCGTCATGCCTATGAAGCAAGACCACTACCACTAAACCATGCCGCCGTTGATTGGGTCTGCGCTTAACTGCTATTTGTGCAAATTGGCTGGCAACCGCGCTCGACTACCTGTCCCTCCAGTCGAACAAGCCTTCATAATTCAGTTCCTATTTGGAAAATCGCCTTTTGCAAATTTTTGAATGCAGATTGCAAATTAGCGTATCAAAAACACTACCATATATAGCGTTATGCGCTGATATACGTTTCGTTACAAACGGCCACTTCGATCTGGCGACCATCCCTAGCCAGCTCAATGGCTTTTGTGCCACAGATTAACCTTCTAGTGAGCAGGGCCTTATAGAGCTATTGGTTGTCCGAAAAGTTCTTCACGTTTTGTGTTACTGTTTTTCTTGAATATTCACTAGCTGGACTAAAAAAATCTCACTCTCCCTTTGCGATCTCAGCTAGTACATCCTCTGCAACTCTCCTTGCGCCCTATCTGATGGCTTATAACGCCTTTCACCACCTGCTTGAATGCAACCCTTTTCAAGATTTTTTTGCAAGCGATGGTGAAATAGGCAGCACTTTCGGACGATTTTTTTTCTTCGACTATAAATTGGGGCAATCCGCAATACGGCTCAACAAATTAATCAGGTGTGGGGGCCCAGTGGTTGGATTCCGACGAACCACCGAGGATTTTCAAAGCCGAACCCTCGCGAAAAAAAGATTGTGGTCACGGTTCAGTGGTCATCGCCTGGTGTGATCTACTATAACTTATCACCAGGCCAAACCATCACAGCAGAACCTACTGTGAAGGAATCGGCGAAATGTACCGAAAATTTTGTCAGCTGCAGCCAACACTTATCAAAAGAAAGGGTCCGATTCTTTTGCATGACAACGCCCGCCCACACGTTTCACAAATCACTATCCATAAATTGAACGAATTGGGGGTTGAAGTTCTACCTCAACCGCCATATTCTTCAGACCTTTCGCCAACCGACTATCACCTTTCCTGCAAACATTTTTCAGAACTCCCTTGCTGGAAAATACTTCATCAATCAGGACCAGGCAAAAAAGCCTTCGTGGATTTCGTGAACTCTCGACCACCCAGTTTTTTACTTTGATGGGATTTCTCGACTGCTGCCACATTGGCAAAAGTGTGCTGATTCGAATGGTGCTTATTTGGATTAAATCCGATGAGTGTTAAGAAAGTTATGATCGTTTAAAGTGAAACACCCGAAACGTGCAGAACTTTCCGGACAACCTAATAGATACATCCCGTTAGTTGTTTACTACACCTCAAGGTTCCTTAGCAATGTCACGTGAAAATATTTTTTGTTTTTTCATCAACCTCCCTTTCCCTTTGGACTTGGACCTTTCACGTCGTAGGCTCGAGCTTGTTTATGGTAGTACTTGTGCTGATCACAACTACGCTGCGTACCTTCTTTGACGTTGCTTTCGATTTCTTTTTAGTTTCACTATCGTCGCTGTCGGAATCGGTCTTGGAGGCGGTGTCTTTCGATCCAGTAGACTCCCTCTTCTGCAATGATATATATGACCAACCCTTCCTAAAACAAGACCATCTCACCGAACCTTTCTCGGTGTCTTAGTCGCGGGAGCTTTCTTCGTTGACTTCGCAGAGGCCTTTGCAGGTGTTTTAGCCTTCCCCTTCGCTGGAGTCTTTGCTGGCGTCTTAGCAGCTGGTTTTTTACCTCTATCATCATCGTCTTCGTCATCTTCATCGTCATCACTCACAATCTGAAAATTTAGAGATTGCTGTTGGAGATAACGAAATGGTGAGCTCAATAAGAGACAAATCTATACAGGAAACACTACAGCTTGTACCAGACCATCTAACAACTCCTACCTCTTCACTTCCTTTGCTCTTTCTCGCACGCTTTGCTGTTGTCGGTGTTTTTGCAGATGATTTACGTTTCTTCGGTACACCACGAGCATGGTCAACAGTTTTCATAAGGAAAAGCATGATGGTGGTAACCTGTGCTACTACTGTATGAAGAACAATACAATGCTAAAAATGAGGGCTTACCAGCGCATCCTTCGTACTACCACCACTATGCAGTCCAAGTATATTCTTGATTAATCTCAGCTGATCCGTGGTGAGTTTGCCGAGGAGCGCAACCTTCTTCTTAAATTCCGGTGAACCTTCCTCGAATCCGAAGCTGGAAAGGCTAAACTACAGCCACAGAATAACTCAACTCATGGAAACTGTTCAGACTTGTAGTAGCCTGAATGTGTTGTACCTAGCTGTTACGCATTTTTGGTCTTACTGTATCACTCTATCTTCTAGGGTGTGTGGGGTACCGGCGCGTCTTCGCCCGAATCGCCCAGAGGTCCTCCTGGCTTTCCTTCTGTTTTCTGCCGGTTCCAAGGTGCTTTCACTTTGCGCCAGCTTCCACCACGCTTCGATCGCTCGCCAGCGCCAGCAACTAGGAAAGTATAGATATCAATCTCGCAGCGTCCACCAGCGCTCAAAAGCGTTTTCGCGGACAGTCTCGCTCAAGTTCAATACTTCCCTAGCCCAGCTGGCGTTCGCTAGATCGATATCCAGCCTCCCCAAACGCTGACGCAAGTATGAACGCAGCGTAACCTGTGATCTACAGTCTTTCTCACTGCAGCGTCGGAGCATGTCAGGTGGGCTGGTTTAGTGTTACGCCATCTCGTTTTGCACCATCTTTCTCCCTTGTCCGCTGGGGTAAATGGCGAAGAACGGGCCGGCAGCCACATCAAACCTAAGCCCTGATATGCCCCAGCGTCTGCTGCAAAAACGGCTGTGTACTGGGCAAGAACGTTCGAAAGCGAGCCAGAGAATAGTGAGTCACCAAAAAATTCAAAAAAAGCAGCTTTTGTGCTTAGAAACGTTTCGCGTGTCGTGCGGTTCTGCAAGCAAGCTGATAAAAGCGCCCTATATATTAGAAAAGGGTATTTCAAACAGCTATAGCACCTGAAGGAGTTCACTGCTGCAAAAAAAAGAAAATAGAAAGAATACAAGAGATGTAACAACGCTATGTGTGAAGAAAAGCGAACAGCAAGTAAAAATAACTGCTACTGGGGAAAACGAACCCCGTAAACTTGCGGATTTCCTTCTTCAATATTGACATCTTCCCTGCAGTTCCATACAGCACACGATGCAGTGTTTTCAGTTCTTCAGAACGGTGTTTTTGCAGCTGCTCCTCGACTGAAAATGAACTTTTCAGCTTTTCTTTATGTCAAGTTCAAACCAAAAAAAAATATTGACTAAATATTGACAAGTTTCAAAGCCAGCACATTCAGGCATTAAAATTGTTGGAATTGAGAAACAGTTACTGACTGGTATTTAACGAGAACACTTATCCGAACATAAGCGATATACAAGTCGTACAATACATGAGATGAGCGTTTCAAGTAGAAGTTGCAAAAGTGATGTCTGCACCGTTCTAGCATGAAGCGTCCTACCTTTCAGTCACCATTCAAAAATAAATCCGACTACTGTAGTGGCGTAGGTCCTATCGATGAAGTCGTGGGTTGGCAGGATCATTGTTATTCCGCGAATGGTAGCATCTGCCCCTCCGAAAGAGGTTTGCTTGATCAGAACGAGACCAAGTCCAAGATTTTTGTGCGGACTGCGCGCGTGGCAAAGAGGGTCACTTGCCACCACTGAGCCACCTACACATGTAGCATATTACGACATTTTGTGGTAAAAACAAGGAGTATTGAAGGCAAGCTCTGAACGTAGGATTATTGGGAACGGTAAAGAACGAAAGCGATTCTAGCTGTGAACAAAATGGGCTCAATGAGATCTACCCTTGCGTGCGTATGGTACTTCACGCTTCGCTGCCCGTTGAACAGTATATTATTCTATTCAAACCCAAGTTCGCTTGAACGCCATTGGCACCTTGTCCGTGAGAAGCGTCGAAGAAATACAAGGAATGACGCGACCGACAAGTACGTTACCCGGTAGTTGCTAATAGTGAGTCTACCGCGAATCTCATGGTTAATGGGATCCCATCGTGACAAGGGTTAATTTTTTTGGAAAGGTAAGTCAAACATTCGCCTAAAGCCATTTCACAAGCAAGAAAGACCTGTATTTCAGAAGCGGAACCACATCACAACGTGGACAGGTCTTCAACATACTGTCAGACAATTATGGAATCAAATATTAGCACTGGATAAACCACAACCGTGAATGCAATACGAAACTGAAGCACTCTTATTTCAATGAATCGATAAACTCACTGTAAGCAATCTCTCCCAGCGGCACACCGTCTCCCATTTTCACTACAGCTGCAGGTTTCTTCGGTGTCGGAGAAGTGATAGTCATTCTCTCTACCTTATGTCTTTCTCGTTTTCCTTCAATCTCTAGAGGCATGTCGAAAATCCCTGAATAAAACAGGCATATTTCAGTTGAAACTTCAGAAATGGAAATACTCCTCCCTGTCACCAGGGGGGAAAGCGCGACTACCTTTCTTTTCCTCGTGTTCCTCTTCTTCCTCCTCATCTTCATTCCCTTCCTCCTCTGCATTATCAGCCTTCTCGTCTCCTTCTTCGGGCATCTCTTCATCTACTTTTTCTTCTTTCGAAGGCTGCTCCTTTGTAGGGGATTTTTTCTAAATAAACTCAATAACATCTCTAACTTGAATCAATCGCGTTTGTAATCGAAGGTACTCACTTCAGTGCTATCCGACGCATTCTCTTCGACTGTTTCGTTGTTCAACTCCGGTTTATCTGCAGCTTCTTCTGACATGCCAGTAACTTCTTTAGCATCTCCTTTTGCCTCTTCTGCTTCTATGGGTTTCTTTGAATCTTCCATATTATCTATGCCGTCCTGAAAATGAAACATGCACATGCTTGAAATTGAGTGATTTTTTCAGCATGAAAGTTAAAATTTGACAAGATGCCATATATCTTCAATGCCAATCTGAAGCCTTCCCTTTCCATGTTGGAGAAGTGTGTAAGATCACAGTGGTTACCCAATGGTGGAACCAAGAGAGCAGACTAAGTTCATGCCATTAAAGGGATTATGTTCTCCGCAGATCGACTCTGTTACCTGTACGGTATAGCAATGCTTTCACAGGCATGGTGTTCAGAATTACGTAAAGCTTAGTCAGCCACCGTCCTGTGACCTGTCTGCACTCTAGCCTTCGCGACATAGCCATGGCAAAAAAAGACTGAACAATCATGAAAGCAGATGACACCACCACCACACTGTCATAACACCACACAAGTTACACGACATTTCTTGAGAAATGTTATTTAGCCATTTCCTAGTCGCTAAATGTGTGAGCTTGATGCTAGTCAAGGGCATCAGTGCAGGAACCGTCTTTCATGTCTGTTTTGGGCCTCTCTGAGCTGAGTTACGGAGGATTTTGAGCCGGAGCTACGCTCAATACGGAATTCGGATGTACGATACCACGCGCGTCCATATTTTGCGATCCCATCGCGAGATCCACCTATCCAAGCGAACCGATCGCACGACCAAGCGCTCGGATTATGGAGTATGAACGCGTTCTAAGTCTGCTTTGATATGACATCGTAGTTCACTGTCATGACCTCATTGATGTCTGCAATCCGACTGCAATTTGATTTAGTTCTCTCACATTCTAAGAATCAGAGACAAGCGGACTCAGCACGCCTAGAGAAATTCTGCGACCATTTTTCGGTGGGGACATGCTACCACTAAAAAACTTCCGTAATGCATTTGAAAGATGTGCGCAGATATGGAAAACATGTTCGTAATTACTGAAATACACCAAATAAAATGGTACAGGTTGTTGCAACCATATAGTCATACATGTAGCTAAGTAACTGTATGTATTTAGTATATATAAATAGATAAAGCAAGCGTAGAAATAGCGCCAGTCCAATAAAGGCTCTATTGACTAGCTTTATTATCGTAATTTTCCATGATGGGAAACCACATAATTTCACAAATTAGAGGACATCATGACGGGACCATCTTCGCAAAGTTTTCCTCAGCGACAGGACGTGCCCTGTCTGCTAGTTCATTTAATATTTGTCCAGCCGCGGGATCTCCGTTCACCTTCCTCGGTCAATGCAAAATCCTCATTTTCTCTAGATCAAATCGTAGAGTGAGTCGCCCCCCATATGGGGAAAAAAACATGAAATGGCTCAGAGCGCGTTCTGCCTTTGGGGGAAAATTTTACAAGGAACACCCCCTCATTATTTTCCTCTGTTGCGCTGCTCCCTCCCCAATACCATAGTACCTACCATCTTACGGAGTTTCTCAATAAATCCTTCACTGTTACGGAGACTTTGAGACAACTTAAACAACATGATGCGCGAAACGTGGAAAAAGTTAACAGTGAAAGATGTATAGTAAGGAAAATTGTTTGTTGCTGGGAGCCTTCAAAACTGTTGTACAGAGAATATTGGGGCCTTCTACGGTCTGCCTGTTCACCCATGGTGAGTCCATTTGGAATACACTTCCCTTTCTCGGATTCCACTAGGACTTCCAATCGTGAAATCTGAATTAGACGCAACTGGTTACAGGACACGTTCCGCCGTTGGAGTAGCTTTGCACAATGCGATCCCTCCAAAAATGCCCTCTTCTGGAACGACCCCTCTTTCCTTTTCCCGCATCCTATCTAATATCTTCCTTGACATTCCCAAAAAAACTTCTCCACTTTTCCCTCAAAAAATGCTATCGAGCGGGGGAAGGGAGAGGGATAGGTATAGCACTGAATTGACATAATAACATTTGAAATAGGAAAAAGTGAGAAAAGTCGACAAACGCAAACATTTCTTTTCAACGGCAAACGCGACATATCCCCCCTCTCTCAAGCGACCATATACGGCCCCCTTCGCTGGGGATCTCCAATGTACGATGTGCTCTTATTGACGCGTGAAGTGGAGGTTGTACCGTCTCGCAGCTCCGCAGAACTTCCCAAATTGGCCCGTATATTGGACTAGTGCTGTAAAAATATTGAATCACTCACCATTTGATCGTTTCCAGTCGGAATAATATTATCAGAGTTACTCTGCAACAAAGCCATTGTGTAACAATACAACAGGTAATACTAGTGACGCCGTGACCTTCAAAAAGCGACGCTACGAATTCGCGCGCGAAATCTCCCGTTTCACAAGGGAGGACACGCCAGGGCGCCGCCCAGAGTTACGTTCGATGGTAATTAGCCCCTGCGCTACCACCAAGAGGGTACCACTTATGTTGATAAGTACCTAGTAATCAACCTAATAGATGAAGACCGGGATTATGAATAGGTCCACAACCGCTGAGGAAGCTGTGCTAGTTTGAAAGGCCAAAAACCCCTCGAATATCAAAAGTTGCGTTTCAAAGCCATATAATTTGGGAAACTATAATGCTTCACTTTTTTTGAGCACTAAAAAGTGTTCTGTTGGGACTAATTAGTTTTTCCTCACTATAATCGTCTTTTAAACATAATCCCCAACATATTTGTATCAGTGCCATTCTGTAAAGTCGTGTTTTATAGTAATACTCCGGGTTAGTGTGCAAAAGTGTAGATGCAATTTACTCGATTGGAGAGTGATTCTTTGGAAAAATGTCTTCGGCACAAGTTCAATATATCGGGCCACCTTGTTTAAGTCCTGCAAACCTATCAGCTCATTTCGATGCAAAGTCTACTGAACCCGTCGGTCCGAAAATAAAAAAGAACTGATATCAGGCTGTGTTCATACATTACCACCACGTCGCCGTAAAACCTGCGACTGTGACGAAATGCAGAACTGAAGAAATGCAGCAATGGGAAATTGGCGGAAAGCATTGGATACGTACCGATTTCCGCAATCGTCATTTCTTCAAGTCGGCACATATCTAATGCTTTTCGTCAATCCTGCATTTCTTCAATTCTTCATTTCTGCGTCCCGTCACCATCGCTATGAACGCGGCCTAACTGACGTTTTCAGCGGCTATGCTGTGTAGATGAAATAGGAATCGATCCGACGTAATCGCTTAATTTGGCGTCGGATCGATATGTGTGTAGTCTTCTGAGGGTAGGTTAGTCGTCAATTACAGCGACATGACTGTTAAGTATGAATGCAGCCTTATAATCACGCTTTTTTCATGTTGGATGCCGATTACTGCTTAATGGTGCGAAGAAATATATCTGATGAAAGAAAGGAGGAGTTTCATATAGACCCAGGAAGCGAAGCATATTTGGGTTGGATGAACCACTTCTGTTGTTCAAAAGTCCTTTCCACATTTTGGCAGAAGGGTTCACTGCCTCGGTCCTTATAGCACCTCGCAAGACTTCACCAATTTGGTTTGACATGTTGAGAGAAATAATTAAAATGTTCCGATATGTTGTACTAATGCCGACCCCTATCCGATTTGAATCTGCTCGACCAGGAAAGTAAGAATTGCAGGTAAACAAAACTCCAAATAATTCCTAAAAGAATAAAATTTTTTGGTTCACCAGCGCAACACATTTCAGTAATATTGAACCTGAATTTTTTTCTAGAAAACGAAATCATTTATGATGACTGAAGCAATTCCAATAACAAGTTCATCTGGATATTAATATTTTGTAGATGTTCCGCACAAGCCACATCTTTGAGTTGGGGTGAATTTTTGTTGCATACTCCTACCCCCTAATACTGCTTTGTACGACTCACAACCTACACTCTCACGAATATTTGCCAAAATTTTGTCGTCGATCGAAGGAGCGGGATATTAGCGCATAGGAAGGAAGAAAAACCAAAAATCAGAAAAATCTTTTCCCAGGCACAATACGGCTCACCTCTCACCAGCGACTGACCCCCTCCTTTGTGATCCTCAATAAACCCTTATTCCGCACTTAAATCAGATTTTGTATGAGCAGATGTATGTTAACCATGTGAACTCCTTGTAACTCAAAACTTTCAATTTCGACGATATCCTGGCATGTGGACTTCTTCTAGTGTCAGCGAAAACCAGACCCACTAAGTTCTGGGAGATTGGAGCTTCTTGCAAATTTATCATTCGAGTAACTAAAACTCCGTTCTCTCGAAACCTATGAGCGTCTACAGACAAGTACAACTGAATCCGCTTTAACAATGTCAACCTTTCGTTTTCCTCAGCGCTATCTCGTCCGCATGGCATTTTGTGACCACTCTGACCTTTCACATTCCAATCTTTCACCCATAATGACTGGCTTATCCACCACGATGTCACCCCGATTTTGAAAAAAAAAAATCATCTGCCTCGTGACATATTCTCTGTACCTCTCGATGCCCCAGCACCTTCTTTTCTCTTCGCTCCGGCATTTCGCAGCAGAACCCCCACCAGAAGTTTTAGTTGTAAGGTAATACTTTTCGAGTATTGTTGAATAAATTTCAGGGTCGACCTCAGCAGTAGCTGATGAGGAACTAATAGGCTTCTGCTATCTTATAGCCGTCTGAACAAAAATTATATAGTGTAGTTCGCTGCGGACGGTTGGGCGTGTCAGTGCGGCTGCGTTTGGCGCGGTGCCAAACTCGTTCTCCACCAGTTGTTGAAGCGGGCAAGTGACAATACTGTATCATATCCTTCGTATTACTCGTTTTCTACCACTTTTTGTCGCATGCGCGTTTCAACAAGAAGGCAGAGAACGGCTTTGACGGGGTGACACACTCATACTGGCTGACACGCCCAACCGTCCGCAGCGAACTAGAGTGTACAACTTACGCAATTGCTTGGAGAAATTAGAGTGTAAATCGGAATCCTAGTGAAAAACGGAGTCTCTTCAATCAACTTGTAGGGTTCAGAATTACGGACCAAAGGATAGGGATCTAATTTTTTTCGGGGGTTTTCCCAGGTACAAGATTATGAAGACTAGGGACAGCGGCTCTGGATGGACAGGATGGTTCGAGTGGTGATGATCACTATTTCTTGAATTGTATCACAAGCAATATTACGTTGAAATTTACTAGCTCTATAACACTTTTTTCGGATGGAAAACCGTCTCTAGTAGAAAAAACGACCTTCTCGGAAAAATTTATTCATATTATGTAAGCACGAACAAGAAGAAAACAAATACTCGAATAGAAGAGAAGTATGCGGAAGAGTTTCAACAAGCTAAGCAGAAGGCGACAAGGGTGGAAAAAACGAAACAGTTCAGAAAAGACAAAGGCTTGATAGCACTGGCATACCACTCGAACCGGAATCGCTTTGAGAAACGAGGAATATGCAGTATGACAGATAAAATGTCAAATAAGCGTCAGAAACAGCATATACCTGTAAACTCACTTAGAAGGTACAAGCGAGGCCAATTAATATTATTCAGCTATTAACAATATTATGGTATAGTTGTGGGCACAACTGTTTTCAATAAGACTTGCACCTCGAAATGTATAGTAAAAAGAAAACGAGGATTTCCCGCTTCAGTGCGGACTCAGAGAAAAACAACAACTAAGAGCATCAAGCCCAAAATACCAATAATAAATGCAGAACCCATCTAAAATTTTCAAATATACATTCAACCGGTTTGCATTATATTAAAAACGAACTCTGAACACGCTTTCAGATTTGAATAAAAACAGAAGAAAGACAGAAAACTTCGGCAAACGATCATAGTATAGCGCAACTCCATCCACTGAACAGGCCCTTTTTCGCTTGATTCTGACCGCCTACCGTGACTCGACCTGAATTAAAAACTGAAATGATCATCAGCCTAACGTCAAAGCAAAAAAGGTGCACGTCCGTAAACTGTTAGGCAGCGTTCAGACTTCGCGGTGCCTCGACACGCTACATTTACAACAGCGCTCCAAAACTATAGACGCAAACGCGTTCGATCGATCCGTGGGCGTGGTCCGCCTGTCTTTCAAGAGAACGCGGGCAATACTACATTAGATGTTGCCTTTCCACGCAGACTAGTATCGAGCGCACTGACCGTCTACGGCTACGTTCGCGTTTGTAGCTTTGGAGCTGTGTGGTAGCGTTGTTGTAGCGCATCGACGCGCATTACAGCGCGTCGTCGCCAATTACAGGTGTCCACGTGTATCATCGCGAAATCCGAACGCTGCCTTATGAGTAAGGCCACGTTTATACTTTGCGTATAGGTATCGATCTGGCGATTGGGGAGATTTTGCGACCCAGCGATTTGGAAACTCGGCGTTCTGAGTGATGGCGCGCCAGAGGAGTGAATGTGTCTCAATCGGTGCTGTTCGTCCAGCAACTGCGTTGATTCTGCTACCTGGCGTTTTGGGAGATTGAGCGATCCGGCGTTTTTAGAGACTCAGCGTTTAGAATGATTGTGCGACAAGGGAGTGGATGAGTATCGATCGTCGAATCTCCAAAGTCATTAGCGACCCCACCGTATTGAAAACCATCCACTTCCATGGCGCGCAATCGCCCGAAACGTCGAATCCCCCAAATGAGAATCGCCGACCCTTCCCAGTCGCCGGCTCAATACCTTTATATGTCTCGTTGGGCTATCTTTCATGTCGCTGAGTATCTCAAATCCCCTAATATCTTCAGTAGCAAAGTATGAATGCGACCTAAGGAGACGGCGTGTTACTTAACACGTCAATGAAAAGGAAACATGAATCATATGATAGTTACGATGTCATAGACACGTCATTACCGTATCGTATGACGCCAGTGACACGTGGTCCCCTTCCTCTCTCCCTTAGCACGTAATATATGTACTAGACCGCGCAACTGTGCTACATTAGCGGCGCAACATAAAAAGGAAAACGTGAAAAAAATCTACTCATGAAGGAACCACTATGATGGCATGTCAAGACCAAAAAATGAAATGGAGAGACAGTGAATAATTTCCTGCCGACAGATCGATAGGCCACAAAAAACCTTACTGCTAGATGCATTTCCCGTTATCGGCCAAAGGTTATTAAACTTTTGACGGCCGCTGTCATCAATCGACAAATAGGGAGGTCTCGGGAGTCTCTGCGGAGAATACAACTCAATAAACTGTGGGATCAACACAAATTCATTGCAGCATGGAATATTGAATCCATTGCGGTTACAGCTGTGGAGCAGTGGATTGAGTGTGAGAGGTGTGAGAGCGTGACACCAATGTAAATAATGAGACATGCACGTCTTAACTATACTAATTGTACATGCACTCCCAGAAAGTTTCCCTGGGTATGCTGACTAGTAACTACAAGTAGAGTGGTGACTTCCCGTTCCCGCAGCGGTGAGCAGTCTAGTTTCCCCTAACGAAATATTCATTTTTTTTCATGTATTATTAGAAACACTAACGGGAGGCGTGGCAAAGAGTAAGCAATTTGAAACCGCATAAGAATGAATGTGGTAGTACTTTTTGGCCACCCTGTATGTGCTTATGCACGTCAACTGAATAAATTTAAAAAAAGTAAATTAAAGTCTGCTAGGAGAGGATGAAATAACCGATACAAATGAAAGCAACCAAATGGACACCGAGTACTCGGCGCGTCACAGAGGGTATTACTAAAACTAGCATATTACCTAGCATCTTGAATAAAACCAGAAAAGAAAAAAATACCTGATTGCGAAATCGTGTGAGCTTGTCCACGTTCCATTTTACTCTTAATATCCCTTGCAAGACAGAAAAATGCTTCTTCAACGTTGAGATTCGCTTTTGCTGATGTTTCCATGAACTTTGTGCCATACTCGATTGCAAGCTGTAACTGGGAAATCATCAACAATGAATTTTTAGCTACACACTTACGAAACTACAACTAGAGGCCTATTAAAGAAAATGTAAAACAGAAGCATATGGCCATGGAACCACGCTTTTTCATGTTCCCACAGCCTCAGACAGGAGTGCACGATAGAGAAAAGATAAGCTCTGCCAGTTGAACACAGCAAGAAGGAATCAATAAAGCATGTCATACTGGTAATAAATGGGGATTAAGTTATCGCCCCATCCCCTTCACATGACACTTGAAATCCCTCAGATCGGGTAGGCAAATGCTCCCTCTAGAAGCTTTACGGCTGCTGAATGAAAGTCGCATGCTGGCCAGACATCTCAAAGTGATGCCCTATAAAACTTGCTTTATTTATTCCTTTCCTTTTTTTATTAATCTCATGGCAGTACACCATCCTCGTTGGTATTACCACTCTGGAAAAGCCTTCCATTGCAAACTCATGGCGTCGACTTTGCACGTTCGCCATCACTCAAAGGTGTCGTTCACCAGAGCGTCACATGTCACTTCTAAAACGTGACGACGAGCAATTTCTGTATTAGCGCACAGCCCGCGGTGACCTAGTATCAAGTTTATGTTGGCGTTTCGATGGCAAAGAATGAAAAGGTTCG